ATATCCATTTAAATGTTTAATAAATAAACAATAGGAGTCCCTGTCCTTGAGGATATTATATTGTGAGGGGGTGGGGGAGGGACATACAGACAATAAGGTTAATAAATAAATCACTTACAGTAATTGAAAGTTACAAATATTCTGGAGGCGATGAAGATAAGGAGATGGACCAAAATAAAGGAGATAATGAATGCTTTCTAAGAGAATTATGCTTTAAATTGGGCAGTCAAGGGAAACTCTGAAAAAAAATGACACTTGCGAAAAGATGTAGAGAGAGTAAGAGAAAGACCAATAGATTTGCCCCAGGTGGGGCATAGTTCAACTTGTCAAGAAGATCAGAGGAGCTTCTTAGAGCACTGCCTCCCTGAGTTTAAAATAACTCTCAAGAGGAACAACACCGGCCATGTTCCGTCAATAGCTTGCAAAACCAGTGTCCCTAGAGCAGAGAGATGGAGGGAAGAGTAGTAGCAAATGAGGTCAGAATATATTTGGAGGAGGAAGAGTGAGTTGGATACCTAACCTTCATAAGCTTCCACAGTTTAGTGTCAGACTTCCTTTTGCAAGAACTTCCAAACAAAGAATGACAACCTGTGGACAGGATTCAAATAAGCAGTTTTGGAGTCCAGCAGACCCAAGACACACTTGTGTAATTTGGGACATGTTATTCCACCTCTCTGAGTCTCGGCTTTTCATCTGTAAAACAGGGGCAAAACCTTTTACAGTTGCTGGGAGGTTTGTAAGTAATGTAGGTGAAGTGCTGAGTACAGTGCCCAGCGGCCAATCAAAATTCAGTAAATGTCAGTGAGCACTGAGTTGATGCGGAACTGTTCCTTTGGCTCATCTACAGGAGTGTTGGGAGAGACTGTCTTTGGGCCTCCAGTGGCCATGTCTTTGTCCACTATTTAACTCAGGGCAATAATTTGGATGATCTGGTATGTCTGTCACTGCCTTAACTGTAAATCAAATGAGAGTCAAGATCTATCCTAGAAGCTTTTCTATGGCTTGTGCTATTTTTGCTCATACATGTTGCTCTAGTCTTGCGTTAAAGCCAAGTGGTGACTTAAACATTGGTGGTATTTTCATGAAGTGTAGAACCAGCTATTACTGAATTGATTGAGGGTACTTATAGCTGACAATTACAAGTTAAAGCAACCTGATTGCCTGTATCTGGGTTAAAGAATGTAATGTGTGATTAGCCCTATTGTTTCATTAAGTCTCATCCCAGTGAAGGGCCTGTGGCAACAGTGAGATACGCTTCCCGTGATCTTCAAACCCCCTTATTTCCTGTGCAGAATTTTGTATTGGCCTTTTGTTTCCTCTGCTTTGCCACCTTGCGCTTCTCCAATTCCTCCCTAACACAGCAGCCGGGATGGTCACTCTTGAAAAATATCTAGATCCTTTCAGTTCTTGGCTTCAAAATCCCCATTTGTCCCTTATTGGAACAGAATCACTGAATACTCTTTCTAGACAGGGAAGCTCTCTCCAATTTAATCCTATGTCAGGTCCTTAGTTCTATCTACTCTAACGTATTTTTTAAACATTTTTGAGAGACAGAGGTAGACAGAGTGTGAGCAGGGGAGGGGCAGAGAGAGACGGAGACACAGAATCCCAAGCAGGCTCCAGGCTCTGAGCTGTCAGCACAGAACCCGACGCAGGGTCTGAACCCACGAACCATGAGATCATGACCCGAGCCGAAGTCGGTCGCTTAACAAACTGAGCCACCCAGGTGCCTCTAATGTATTTCTTTAATGCCCTAACCAGCTCCTTAGAGAAATGACTGGTTCTAGAACTGGGACAGGAAATATACAAGATGAACATGAGGCATCTTGTGGAGTCAGAAAGGAAGGAAGTGCTCAAAAAAAAAAAAAAGAGGTGAAGGGGGTTCAATATGGGGAGAAGGTTCAATATGGAGAGACAGAACACAGAAACCAACTGAAGGGACTCACAGTGGCCAAAATTGGACCGTTCTGAGCAAGAAAATAATGTAGTGTTGGGTTATAACCCAGTGTGTTAAATAAACATCTTGGAGTATATACTGATATGAATGATTTAATAAGCAAACAGATGAGAGAGAAGAGACAAATATGTCATGCAGAAAAATTCCCAGTAATTTTAGTAGCTGCCCTAACCTCACAGAGGTGGAGCCTAACTGTCTACTCCCTAAGTGCAGCCTGTGCATTGTGACTTCATTCCAAAGAGGACAGTATGGAAAGGCAAAGAGGAGAGTGATATTATATTGAGGAAATATGACCAGCACTGCCTTAGCCAGGTGATCAAGGTCAACATCAAGAGTGGTAGTCCTGTTGATAGTATCTTTTACCTGTGTGGTCTTTCTCCAGAAAGCACATAACCTCAATCCAATCATAAAAAAAAGCATCAGATAAATCCCCTCTGAGGGACTTTTTACAAAATACCAGAGCAACACTTCTCAAAGCTTTCAAAGTCTTCAAAAAAGGAAGGACTGTCTGAAACTATGATAGAGAACTATCATAACCAAGAGAAACTTAAGGAGATATGACACCTGTATGTAATGTGGCATCCTGCAACAGAAAAGGACTTTAAGTAAAAACTCGGGAAATATGAATATAGCATAGACTTTAGTTAATAATAATGTATCAGTGTTGCTTCATCAATTGTAACAAATGTATCATACTGATATAAGTTGTTAGCATTAGCAGACTAAAAATAGGCAATAATAGAGTATGGCATATGGGAACTGGCAGTACTATCCTAAAATATTTTCTCTAAATCTGACTGTTCTATAATTAATTAAAAGGTTGTCCTAAAAAAATGCTATGATCTTTCACATTAGTGAAATGCTTTCCCTTCATCGTAGCCTGCTGAAGTTCTACCTTTCAACTTACAACTTAAGAAGCCTTTCAAATTCCTCAAAAACAAATGGGTCTCCCCTTCCACCTATGCTACTTGCCTTATGGTGCTAATTTTAAGTAATGAACTTATTTCTTCATTCATTCAACCAACCGTTATAGTGTACCTACAGCAGTTGTTGATAGTAAGGCTCACCTGGGCCCTGACCAGTCTTTCAATTTGCCTGTGGTCACAGACTTGTATTTAGAGTTGTGTGGGGAAATGTGCAGGGTGCTAAGAGAATGAGCAGTGGCGGAAGTGAGGACACGTTCTCGAAGGAACTGACCTTTGCATTTAGTTCAAAAAAGGCTTGAGGAGTGAATGCATTTGAGTTGTGGGTGGAGGGTGGAAGGATGGGAAGTAGGAGAAAGTATTCTAGGAGACACCATATTCGCACAGTCACAGAAGCAGAAAGGAGGAGGACATTCCCAAGGAAATATAATAACAATGTGATCAGATATTATCATAAGTAGCATATATGGACACTCTGCCCTGTGTCAGGCTCAGTACTAACCCCTCTACATGGGTTATCTTGTTTTGTACTCACGCAACCCTTTGAGGCAGGTGTTAATATTTTTACCATCTTACAGACGAGGAAACTGAAGCACTCAGTAAATGGCAGGGCTGAGATGCAGACTAAAACAGGCTTCTCAAGATCCCAAACTCTTCTTGCAACTGAGGGGAAGCAGAATTAGCCTGATGTGAATCACAGATCCTTTTGATTCTTTCCTTTTAAACCAGAGTTTATCAGCCTGGGCACTCCTGACATTTTGGGAAAGACAACTCTTTGTTGCGTGGCCTACTTGTGCGTTGGGAGGTGTTGAGCAGCACACATGGCCTTCACCTGCTAGATGTCCATAGCACGTATCCTCTACCAGCAATGACAACTAAACCTCCCTCCAGACTTTTCTAAACATCACTGGTGGAGAGGGTAAATAGCAAAATCACCCCACTCCCACCCCTGCATTGAGAAACACTACATTATTTTGTGGGTTCTCAGGGTAGGATGGAGCTGTGTCTTAAGTCTTTCCTGACTTCTGTCTTCCTTCCCTCCTTTCCTTTTTTCCATTGTTTCCTAAGTGCCCGCCATGTATGGGCTAAACACATGTCCCTGAAAATTTACAACACAGTGACTTGTATATAGTGGTTGCTTAACAAATACTTGCTGGATTTATGCCAACTGGATCCTAAATGTTACAGGTCCATTCTGGTCAAATAAAAAACATTCTTCCTGATATAAAACTTGATATTGCAGAAGTTCATTTCTGGTTTCTGGGTACTTGGAGTATCTTTTGTGTCCCTGTAGAACTGCCCTACAGGCTGGCAAGACGCACCTGAATGCTCACCAACATTTAGACAGACCCAGCAGTGCACCTGTTACGAACCTAGTAGAGAGTGACATACGTTAGGTTGCCAATAAATGTTGAATGCATGGCTGACCTGTAACAATTAAGTGAAGCCATGTGCCTAGCTCTGTAATTTGAGATGCCGTTTAAAGCACATGCCTATTTTCTCCAGCAATTCTTTCTATCATTTTTGGATGAGATCTGAATTTGGGAAATGACTCCCCAACTAGATTTTCCATTCAGCCCCACCCCCCACCGGGAGTGAGCAGGCACTGGGAGGGAGAGCTAATTTCTGGACAGTTTTCCTGCCACCACTGGTTCTGTATCACTGGAGTGTGAGTTGCGTGTCATTAAGCGGGAGCTCAGAGAGTTCTAAGTGGAAAGATAGCATAGGAGTGAGCTCCCAAAATATAATGCACTTAAATCAGGTAGACTTTATTTTGTGTTAGCACCAGGCATTCACTGGTTCACCACTTCTCAGTATATAGAGCCCAGAATCATCGCCTCTTGAGGGCTATTCATTGGTGCTCTTTGGTGCATTTGAAGTATAGGGCTGTAATACCTGTCTTCTCCAGGACTGCACATACCTAGTATAGAATCTTATATACATATGTATATAGATGTGACAGAGACAGCATGGGAGAGAATCCCATGGTAATTAAACTTCATGGGAACTATCTCTGTAATTTCTCTTACTCTCCCCAGCCCCTCCACACATACCCCCACAGGCTTTCACGGCCCCTGAATTATTCCTAATCAGGGTCTCTCTTCTTTTTGTCTTGCCAGAAGGAGGGACATGTGAAGTGATAGCTGCACACAGATGTTGTAATAAGAATCGCATCGAGGAGCGGTCACAAACAGTAAAGTGTTCCTGTCTGCCTGGAAAAGTGGCTGGAACGACAAGAAACAGACCTTCCTGCGTCGATGGTAAGTAGCCAGTTTTCCGTCTATCCTTAGGTGTTTCTGGAGGTGTTCACTGTGCACAATAGATATTTTTTGTTTCATCTGTGGTTCAGGGTAATGAACAAGGTACATACAAAGCATTAGAAGGCTATACAAATGCCAGTCCTCAGCAGACTTTGAATTCTTGTTTTTCTGGCTTTGGGATTGTCACACAGCTCTATTTTCATGTTTTCTTAGAGAAGATTAAGGTAAAATAATTTTTCAAGGCAAGAAATTTGAGGGTCCCATTCATTTGGGAAGTAGTTTTGGATGAGGTAATATATAATGATGATGGCGACAATAGTACTAAAGATAACAATGCCTAACATTGTTTCAGTGCATATATAATGAGCGTTTATTATATGCCATGCACTGCTATGGGTTCATCACATACATTCATAAACAAATAGATTTTCTGAATGTTCACAATATGCCAAGCAGTGTCCTAAACACTTATCATGCTTCATCTTATTTATACCTTCCAACAACCCTATTATAGTTACCTATTGCTGTGTAACAAATTATCCCCCAAAACTTAACCACTTTAAACAGCAAACATTATCTCACAGTTCTGTGGGTCAGGAGTTCAACTCAGCTGAGTGTGACTGGCTCAGTCTCTCATGTAGTTGCAGTCAAGATCTAAAGGCTTGACTGGTGCTGGAGGAAGGTTTTCAGATGCTCACTCACAAGCCTTTTGGCAGGTGGGCTCACTTCCTTACTGTGTGGTCCTCTCCAGAGGAGCTCAGTGTCCTCACAACATGGCAGCTGGCTTCCCACAGAGTGAATAATTCAAGAGAACAATATAGAAGCCATAATAACATTCTCTTTTATAGTCTAACCTCATTAGTTACACTTCATTGATTCTACAATATCATGTTGGTTATTGAAGTTGTCTCCATTCAATGTGGGAGTAAACTATGACTTGAAGGCCAGAAGACAGGGATCATTGAGACAAATACATGTTTCCTCCCATTTCAAACATTAAGAAACAGAGGCTTAGAAAGGTTATGTAATGTTCCATTGGCCCCATGGCTGACAAGTTGTAGCTTGACTGACTCTTAAGCGTAGAGTAACTAACTGTAATACCAAATCTTGACCACCATCTTTAAAACAACTTTATATGTCCTAATATTTGAGCCAAGGCTCAGAAGGACCACAAGTATCTCTCCCCATCTTTATTTTTCATAATTTTTGAGCTAAGTTTGAGGTGATTTTCAAATTCTGCAGTACGAAAATCAAGACTCAGAGAAGCAAGTCACCTGCTCAGGGTCACACAACAGCAATTAGCCCTTGAATCTCTTGACTTAGGATTCATGGTTGTACCTCTAAAATATAGATGGAGCAGGACACCTTATAGACTGGCTTGTGTTACTTATTTCCATTTTTATGGTGGTTACAAAGAGAAACACACTCAAGCTACACCAAGTAAATTTGTTTTTTTAAGAAAATGGAAGAATCCTGGGGAGCCCAGTTATAGGAAACCTCATGGGATTCTGTTTATAAAGCCGCCATCTTGTTTTCTTTGTTCATGAGACACACTATTTCTGATCTCTCTTCTCCTCATTCTTCTCTGTGTGGACTGGTTCCCTCTCCCAAGAGAGGATGCCCATCGTCCACCAAGCTTTCTTTTTTCTTTTTTCTAAAGGCTGTGAAAAATCCAGGTTTGGGAATATACATTGATCAGCAAGTTCTCAATTAAGGCATTTTTAGTGGTCATTTGGTACTATTTGGAGACATTTTTGGTGTAGACATCTGTTGCAGTTATAGGGGTACTATTCATACCTGATTGGTAGAAGCCAGGGATACTGCTAAACATCCTCCAGTGCATAGGACAGCCCCCGCAAGAAAGTATTATCCAGCCCCAAACAGCTGTGGAGTTGAGGTTGAAAACCTGAACTATGATTATTTACTTGTTGAGGATCATAGTCAGCACGGTAGGATACCTCCAGTGCAGGAAAGGTAAGCAGCTAGACTAGAAATGCTGCTTTGCTTACTTGCAGGAGGAAACTCTTGGCCCTTGAAGCCAATAAACATTATAAAACAATGATAGTTTCTTGTTGTCTGCCAAAGAAAGCATTGAGTCTGTTAACTATAAATCTCCATTTTGTTTCCAGTTCATTTTTATCACTAATGATCTAGAAATAGAATTGCCTTTAGGATTTGGAAGTAAGATGCAAAGAGCAATACATTGTTTACGCTGGCAGAGTGGGAAATGGCATCTGGCCCTAAGTTTCTATGAGAAGTTAAGCCACTTGATGGTAATATTTTGTCTGTCAGAACAAGTGTGCTTGACTTGAGAAACTCTGAATCCTTTAATGGGGTAAGTTCAGACAAGAGGGCTATTAGTCCCTATCTTTGAAACAAAAGTCTATAAAATATAGAGTATTCTCTAGGGTCAAGCTGATGATTTATAGTTTCTATAGCATTCAACTCTTCCAAAATTCTTGAATCCATTGGCATATCAGAAAAAAGTTTACATGTTACTATGATCAAAATTGTTTTTATGGGGATGCCTGGGTGGCTTAGTTGGTTGAGTTTGGTTTTGGCTCAGGTTGTGATCTCATGGTCATGGGACTGAGCCCCATGTCAGGCTCTGCACTGAGCCTGGAGCCTGCTTGGGATTCTGTCTCCCTTTGCCCTCCCCCTACTCATACTTTCTCTCTCTCTCAAATAAATAGACATTAAAAAATTGTTTTTATGGGCTAAATTTCTACATGTAAATTAAAAATGAAGCACATATATAAATTAATAATAATTCCAGTGTAGTTATTAAGATCACAAGTTGTGCAATTAGACAGACATGAGTGGAACTCAGCTATACCAATTACTAATAGAATTACCTTGGGCAAGTCATATATGCCTGTTACTTATTTCTTAGCTGTGAAATGGAGACGATCATTGTTTCTACTTCTTTAGCTTGGGGTGAGGATTAAGGAAGTCATGTGTACTGTGTGTTTTGCATAATGTTTAATTCCCATCAAGCGCTTGCAAAATGATGGCATCTATTTCCTATCTCACTAACAAGTGTGGGTCCTAATTAGAAAAACACATTGTTTTACAAAGCCTTGCTTCATTTTGATTAAACACAGTAGCCTTTTAGTGTCACTTTTTCCGAAAACTCCTTCTAAGTAATCACCAATGCTGGTGTCATCTTCAGGAATTAATGTTTATTATAGGAACTTTGAAAACTACAGAAATAATCCATACATTAAAATCATACATGACATTATTGCTCAGAGACTATATCATTACTTTGTAAGAAAAGATGTATATGTCCTCTTAGACTTAACCCATCCTTAAAAAGAAACTCGCATGGTAGGTATTTTATTGAATGTAAATGTTATAGTACTTTTTACCAACAACTCGTTTCCTTTAACATGCGGTGAATATTTCCCAATTTAAAACATACTCTTCAAAAACATTGTTGTTAATAACTACATGGGGCTTCAGGGGTGGATATAAATGATTTATCTATTTCCTCCACTTTGGCATATTTACAATGTTTTGTGCATTTCTTTGTCTGAGCCTAAAAATGGATAGAAACCAGCTTCTCTCTATGACAGCAGTTGACAGCCCATACACCGTATTTGTCCTGAATATATTCTGTTGTATGTAGCGCATTTCCCATTAAGTGTTCCAATTGCTGTTATTTACTTTCCACTGAAATTACAGGTCACTTGCCTTCCACAGCATTTTCAAAACCAGAGAAACAGCTATGATTTTAAAATAAGCATGTATTGTATTATTCAAAATCGGAGACCAGGTGATTTAAAATGGGACATACATTTGGTAGTGTAATCTTAGCAACCCATTCAAAAGTAGAATATAGGATATTGGGAGAAATTTTTAAATAGTGAGCTTTGAGTTTAAAAATTATATTCTATTGCCTAATGAGTGAAAATACCAAAAGAAACACGCAACACTAACATTTACTCAATTTTGTGACAGTTATTAATACAGATTTTGAGAAGTCTTATACCCTTGGATTTGTGCCTAGCATCTTTCTGACCAAATAGTAAATCATTACGCTCTGATTCACACCCTCTTGTGTTTTGTTAGTTATTCTCTAACCCAAAAGGAAGGTATGTTCCTCACTATCATTAATAACAATAATAAAAATAATGGCAGAGCCCTGAGTGGCTCAGTTGATTAAGCATCTGACTCTTGATTTCAGCTCAAGTTATGATCTTCCGGTGGTAAGATTGGGCCCCTATTGAGTTCCTTGCTGGGCTTGGAGCTTGTTTGGGATTCTCTCTCTCTCTCTCTCTCTCTCTCTCTCTCTCTCTCTCTCTCAAAATAAATAAACATTAAAAAAAAATGATGGCTAAAACGTTCTTGAAGTCTCACCATGTATGACTCAAGTCTTTCAAATCTCCGTATTCTTTTAATTCTAACCCAACCCCTGAAGGTATCTCCTTCTCTTACTTCCATTTTGCATGTCAGAAAATTGAGGCACAGAGATTTTGTCACTTGCTAACCATCACACAGCCAGTAATAGCAGAGACAGAAAACCAGTCCAAGCTATCTAACTCCAGGTCTCTCTGTACCAAGTGTGGACAAACAAGGGTGTAACATAAACATGCATCCTTTCCAAAGCCTTTCTTGCCAGGTACCAAAATGAGAAGAAGGACAAAGTCCAACTACGTATGACCTTTCAGAAACATCCAGTCCTTTGGGCCATACCTGCCCCTTCCCTTTCTGTGTCAGAGAGAATTGATTAATTGCCCTTTCTAAGGTTGTGGTCATGAGCAATTAGAAGCATTTTTATAAATAATGATTTCTGCTCCATAGAATCATTGAAATATCGTGATGTAAGTCAAGGAGATGGGGAGGTGAAATAAAATGCCTATTTTATGGGGAAATTTTCATGTAGTTTTCTCTATTTAGGATTTTATTCTCATGCAATGTATGTCTATTTGTAACCTAGACAAATACGTGAAAAAAAATCGTTACAAGTACTGGTTTGTAGAGAAGGTCTTTTCATT